CGTTCGTCGTTCGTGTCGTTCGTCCCCCTGGCCCTGGTCGCCCCCTGGCCCTGGCCCTCACCCCCCCCTGCCCCGCGTCCAGGCATCCCAGGGCAGCCCGTCCAGGCTTCCCAGGGCAGCCCCCCTGGGCCACGGAACCCTTTATTTTCGTGTCGTTCGTCGTTCGTGTCGTTCGTCCCCCTGGCCCTGGTCGCCCCCTGGCCCTGGCCCTCACCCCCCCCTGCCCCGCGTCCAGGCATCCCAGGGCCGCCCGTCCAGGCTTCCCAGGGCAGCCCCCCTAGGCCACGGAACCCTTTATTTTCGTGTCGTTCGTCGTTCGTCGTTCGTGTCGTTCGTCCCAGGGCAGCCCGTCCAGGCTTCCCAGGGCAGCCCCCCTGGGCCACGGAACCTTTTATTTTCCCCCTCGCCCCCCCCCCCTCGCCCAGGCTTCCCAGGGCAGCCCCCCTGAGCCTCGGACACCTTTGTGCAAGAGCCAGGGCACGCGTGCTACTTGTTGTTAGAACTGCGCTGACAACGCCTGCCCCATGAAGTGGCCGAAAACAGCAAAAACAAACTCATATCGTGATTCTTTCACAGCGCGAGAAGGTCGGGGTATTCACCTTCCCCCCCCTTCGCTCGCCGCCGATCTAAGGCTCTCGGGGACGCGCGAAGTCGGGCGACCCAGGCGCGGACCGCTGGCGCCCCGCTCCGCCCGCCCCCCCCGCTATGCAGTGGGGGCCCATGCCAAGAGAAGCACCCCACCTACCTCCAGGAGGTGCCCCTGGGCTCCCTTTGGGCTTCGAGGCTTCTGCTGTGGAAGGCGTGACGCCCCCCCGCCAAGAATCCATATGGACGTCCTGGGGTCTCAGGGTTGGGGTTTCTTGTGGAGGGTTTCTTGTGGACTGGCCTCCACTGGTACAGACTGAAGCGATGCGGCTGCTCCCCGCCGCCCTCGCCTGGGCGGCGCTGGCCGGCGGCGCCGGCGCGGCACGGGTCCTCGGGCACCACCCGATGGACAACCACAGGCCCTGGGACGGTCCAACCTGCTTTCCGAGGCGGGGCTTTGTACATGACCACCGCCTGGAGGATCAATTTTCGGAGACCTCGGCGGGCGGTGGATGTGGACATATTCGGGCTCCCGGGGGCCAGAGCACATCCACATCCACCGCCCGCTGGGGCACTAGGACGCCGGCTCGCAGGCGGTGGATACGGATAGATCCCCGCCGCGCATACTTCAGCCCTGACCGCCTGAAAGAATTTCGAGCATCAAGGAAGCATCGGAGCCAGAGGGTCTTCGCGCGTCGCTCCCTGGGAGGCGATGCTCGTTCGACACTGCGCCAGCGTGCCTGGCATGCTCTGTGTCGATACTTTTCTGGGTGCTCGAAATTCTCCGTCTTTTCTGCCTTCTCCTCCTCCTGCCTCCTCCCTGCTTGCTCCTGCCTCCTCCCTCCTCCCTCCTGTTTCCTCTCTCTCCTTCTCCTCCTCCTGCCTCCTCCTCCTCCTCCTCCTTCTCCTCCTCCTCCTTTGGCTCCTCCTCCTCCTGCTCCTTCTTCTTCTCCTTCTTTGGGGTCTCGTTCTGGGATGTGGTCCTGAAGTGCGAGGGGAATAACACAAGTCAGGGGCCCACTTCGACCCGATCGGTCTGATTCGATGTCGGTTTCGTTGGGCTTGATCCGATTCGATCGAGGTTCATGAACGCAAAATCTGGCAGCTCCGCGCGGAGTTCCTGGGTCAGCGCTGGGACCCCCTCCCTGGCGCGCGGAGCGCGCCAGGGGCGGTGCCGGAGGCCCCGTCGGGTGGCCCAGCGCCGATCCAAGAAACCCGCGCAGAGCTCTGGCAGTTTATGTTTAGACAGTTTGTTTCTCCTTTATGTGAGCGGTCCGATGCGGCCCGATGCCTGCAAGATGCAGAGGTACGTCCTGGCGCAGCCGACCCGATTCGGTTTCGACGCTGTGCCGATGCAGTCCGATGCGACGCACGTTCCGATCGGATCCGACTCTCCTGGGCGAAGCTGACTGATTTCGGCGTCACCATCACATACTGATCCTACGTGTGCGTCGCCCCCCCAGGAGCGACGCGCGCACCCACAACTCTTATAGTATATGCGTCGTGGCGGGCGCTTTCGGGCCACACCGCTCGGGAAACGATATACTACAAAACGGGTATACTATATATTCGGGTCGGACGCGCGCCTCCAAGGAGGACAGATAGTACTGGTATGTCTCGCTGCGTCCCATCCGATCCTCCGATCCGAAGCTCACTGACCTTGCAGGTGCAAGGTCACGTGCCAGCGCTTCGGCATGAAGGCCCTGGGCCCCGCCTTCGTGAAGATCAGGCACCCGAACGAGTGCGTCAAGAAGTGCGACGACGTCTACCCCAGCAGCTCGCTCGTGCAGCTCGGGCTGGGGCGGGCGAAAGTCGGGGGCGGCCGTCTAGGCCTCCCAGATGGGGTTCGAGCAGAGGGGGTCGGAGGATCGCGCCGCATCGTCGATGCATCGGCGATGCGGCTCGATGTGGAGCCCGATCTGCTCCACGTCGGCGCTGCCGATTCATCGCCGACATCGACGATGCGTCGCCGTTGCATCGCCGATGCATCGCCGATGCATCGGCGATCTGGCGCGATCCTCCGACTCCATCTGCTCGGATCCCATCTGGGAGGTCTTCAGAGTCGGGGGCGGACAAGAGGGGGGTAGTGACTACGGGGGGCTGGATATAATGGCCGGGGCCATGCTGCATTCCTGGATCTCATGGTTCCTCCCTCCCATTCAGGTGTTTTGTTCCATCTCGCCGACCCCCACCATGAGTGAGCGTTTTGAGACTATCGTGTCGGGGAAACGTAAGACTCGAGTAAGCCAGAACTCGGGCTTGCCGACTTTTTTTTTGACGAGCGCGTCCTGGATTTTGACGGTTCCGTTTTCGTGGGATGTCTGCAGCGGGAGCCCGCGTCAAATTTCAGATTGGGTCTCGTCATTTTTATGTTGGCCCCCGTCAGGCCAACCCGAGTCCTTCGTATCCGAGTCTTACGTCTCCCCGATCGTGGAGGTTATACCTTGGGTCCGGAGCCTCCTGGATGAATCAGAGGTTCTCTTTGGGTGCCTCTCTGGGACCTCTTGGAGAACTCTCGGGGGCTCTGGGAGGCTTTCTGGAGCCTCGTGGGGGCCTCTGGGGGGCTTCTTGGGGGCGTCTTGGAAGCCTCTTGGGGCCTCTTGGAGGGCCCTCGGGGGCCTCTGGGGGGCTCAAGGGGCCATCTTGGTGGGAAAGGCTCGAAATGTCAGTTCTTCTTCGCCCTCTTGGGCTTTCTCGGAGCTCTCTCGGGGCCCTCCAGGGGCTGTCTTGGGCCGTCTTGGGGGGCCCCTGGGGCTGTCTTTGGGCCCTCTTGGGCCTTCTTGGGGCCGTCTTGGAGGCATCTTGGGCCTTCTTGGGACGAACTTGGGGGCCACTAGGGCCGTCGTGTTCGATGTCAAAACGTAAAATGCGGATGTACTGAACATGTACCGTTTTTTCACGCGAATGGGATGATTTTGGCGTCTTTGGGCCCTCTCGGCGATCCTCTGGAGGCGCTTTGGGGCTGTCTTGGGGGCCTCGTGTGCATCTTGAAGCCGTCTTGGACCGTCGTGGGGCTACCCTGGGCCGTGTGGTGCCGCGCTCTTCGACTGTCTTGGCGCTCTGTCTGGGCCTTGCTGGGCTGCTTTGGGGCTCTTTGGGGGCTCTGGAGGCCCCCGGGGTGCGTTGACGAGCTGGTGCCCCCCCCCGCCTCCCCCAGAATGGCATCTCGGCTCCCAGGGGAGGGGGACAGGGAGAGGGGGAGGATGCCTGCCCGGGACATAGATGACGCAGTTGCGTGGCACCAGCGCGACTACAATCTGATTGCGGATTATTTAGTGAATCGCGCGATGGATGGGCGCAAATTTTGGGCACAAGTTTATCCAGATAGCGCTGAATTGTCGTGCGTTGCTAATTTTCTCGTGCACATCGCTGGTGGCACGCGCGCGGGGCAGTGTTCCGCGGCAGCTTGACCCAGAAAATATGGGGAAATATGGGGGATCCTTTTATTTGTGTGTATTTATTTGTGTGTCCCAGGGTCCCTTCACTCTTGCACCTCCCCCTCATGGACGCACCAGGGAAAGGGGGATCTGGGAAGGGGGGGGGTACGCAAACTGCTGCACGCAGCTGGCCTCGGCCCCGCCGCCGGGCACGTTCCTCGATACTCGGGCGCCTCTGGATGGGAGGCGCCGGAGGAGGAGGAGCAGCAGGAGGAGGAGGAGGAGAAGCAGAAGAGAGAGAGAGGGAGGAGGAGGAGGAGGAGGAGGAGGAGGAGGAGGGGAGGAGGAGGAAGGAGGGAGGAGGAGGCAGGAGGAGGAGGAGGAGGAGGAGGAGGAGGAGGAGGAGGAGGAGGTGGAGATGAGGAGGAGGAGGAGGAGGAGGAGTGAGGCGGGAGGAGGAGGAGGAGGAGGAGGCGGAGAGGAGGAGGAGGAGGAAGGAGGAGGAGGAGAGGAGGAGGGGAGGAGGAGGAGGTGAGGAGGAGGAGGAGGAGGAGGAGGAGGAGGGAGGAGGCGGAGGAGGAGGAGGAGGAGGAGGAGGAGGAGGAGGAGGAGGAGGAGGAGGAGGAGGAGGAGGAGGAGGAGGAGGAGAAGAGAGAAGATGAGAGGAGGAGGAGGCGGAGGAGGAGGTGGAGGAGGAGGAAAGGGAGGAGGAGGAGGCGGAGGAGGAGGTGGAGGAGGAGGAGGAAAGGGAGGAGGAGGAGGAGGAGGAGGAGGAGGAGGGGGAGGGGGAGCAAGCACCGAGTACTGGACGCAGGGGGCGGCGTGCCTGCCCACGTGCAGGAGTCCAGGACGTCTCCAGAAGTCTCTGGTCATGCCTGTCAGCGTGGTGTTTTTGTTCGCAACGTGGGCTCCTGGCATGGGGCGCCTCCGGCGATGCATTGGGCGCCTCCTCGATGCTTGGGGCGCCTCCGGCGCCAGGGAAATCAGGTGCGCGAGCTGACTCGCCAGGCCCCCTCCGTTCCTACCCTTCTCTCGCCCGACCCGGTCAGTTCGAGGCGGGGATTTACACACAACTACCGCCTGGACGATCGATTATCGTGGACCTCCGAAGGCGGCGGACATTTGTGTATGTACGTGATGTAATGTAATGCGCTGTGATGTAATCTATTTTAACATTATCTAGTGCAACGCAGTGCATCGCAATGTGTTGTAATGATATGTAATGTAAGTTAATGTTAAGTCGGGCCTGTTCTTCTACTGAAGAATAGTATGGGGACTATGTTTTTAGTATTTTTGGGTATCTTTTGGTTTTTGTTCGGTATTTTTATTTTTTCGCCCAACATCTCTCTGTAGGGGGACAGGCCTGACTTAAAGTTAGCGAAATGTCATGTAATGTAATGAAATGTATTGAAGTGTGGTGTAGTGTATGTATATATATATATGCATGCATGTATGCATGCATGCATGTATGTATGCATGTATGTAATGTATGTACTGTACTTTACTGTACTGTACTGTACTGCACTGTACTGTACTGCACTGTTCTGTACTGTACTGTACTGTTTTGTACTGTACTGTACTGTACTGTACTGTACTGTATGTATGTGTGTGTATGTATGTATGTATGCATGCATGCATGCATGCATGCATGCATGCATGTATGTATGTATGTATGGATGGATGGATGTATGTATGTATGTATGTATGTATGTATGTATGTATGTATGTAGGTGTGTGTATGTATGTTTGTTTGCATTTTTGTATGTATGTATGCATGCATGCGTGTATGCGTGTATGCATGTATGCATGTATGCATGTATGTGTGTACATGTACGTTTGCATGTGTGTAGACTGTCTGCACGTATGCATGCATGTATGTAATGTAGTGAAGTGGTGTGCATTGTAAATTGATGTAGTGTATTTTATTGTAAAGCATGGTAATGTAGTTTAATGTAATAGGTTGTGGTGCCATATAATGTGAGATATCTGTGTATGTGTGTGCATGTATGTATGCATTGTAATATAATGTATTGTAATTTCAATGCAATGTAATTTAACGTAATGCAATGTCATGGAATGCGATGTAGTGTAATGTAACGTATGCATGCGTGAATGCATGCACGCATCTATTTTTTTTATAGATGCGTGCATGTTTGTGTGTATATATATACACAACACATGTATGCATGCATGTCTGTCTGTCTGCCTGTCTGTCTGTCTGTCTGTCTGTATGTATGCATGTATGTGTGTATGCATAAGCTAGCTATCTATGCATATGCCCCCTGGGGGCCAGCATATATCCATTTCCACCGCCCGCTGGGTCCCGAGGACGTCGGTTCCCAGGCGGTGGCTCTGGAAAAGCCCCCGCCTCGCCACCAGGGCCGCCCCTCCGGCATCCATGCCAGCCGCGGCCGCCCCGCCGGCGCAGCCCAAGGGCGGCGCCCCTGCGGGCGCCGCGCCCGTGAGGCGCTGACGGCAGGGCTCCGAATGACTCTAGGCGCCGCGCGCGGGCCGCGGGCGCGCCGCGGGGCAGCCCTGGCGGCGCGCTGAGGAGGGTGCAGCGCGAGGGGCGGCGACTGCAAGTCCGAGGCGGGGAGTTATCATCCATAGCCACCGCCTGGGGGATCGATCGTCGCGGAGCTCCACAGGCGGGGGACATGGGTCTATTCGGTCCCCCAGGGGGGGCCAAGTGTATCCAAATCCACCGCCCGCTGGGGCTCCAGGGCGTCGGTTCCCAGGCGGCGGATATGGATGGGTCCCGGCCTCGCAGCAGAGGGTGTGGATACGCTGGGGTGTGGTTTGCGATCTGCGTCGTCTGGGCTGGGGGGGCACTACGTTGCTGTCGTCGAGCCTCTTCGGGGCGCGGCGGAGAACTCTGTCGAGGTCCTCGCCCTTTCTCAGGGTGCGCGTCGACGCGTGGCAAGCCACACCCCTTGGAAACCACACCCTTCGGAGTCGCCGAGCAGGGCGAGGGGGTCCAGAGCGTTCGCGCCACGTCTGACATCCTGCCCCTCGTGCGTTGAAAGTGGGAGTGCTTTTCGATTCCCAGGTCCCCATATGCGTTCTCAAAAGGCAGGGGCGAAACCACTTTCAAAAGTATTTCTTGGCAGACAAACCAAGCTTTCCAGGAAAATTGCAGCACATGTGCCGACTACTATGGTACAGAGAATTGTTTGCAATGGTGATGGGACGCCCAAAACATGGGCTGTCAAGCGAACGCGTGGACGACCGCGACCACAATGGGCATCTTCAGTGTACGAGCTGTCCCACAATATTGGAGCCCACCTCGCATTATCCGTATTTTCCACTGCTCCTTTCTTTTTTTCCCAACCATCCTGTGGTGTTGGTTCTTCGTTTTGAAGAGACGGTGCCCCGCGTCTCTCCTCCTTCCTTCCTTCCTCCTCCCCCTCCTCCCTCCTCCCTCCTCCCTCCTCCCTCCTCCCCCTCCTCCCTTCTCCCCCTCCTTGCCTTTGCTCTCGGCACACCTCTCACACGTTTCGTAGCCCCATAGGGAGCTCCACCGGAGGTCCCAGTGGCACAGCCCGCATGCGTCCGCCACACTCAGCACAGCGTTTCGTGGCCCCATAGGGAGCTCCACCGAAGGCCCCAGTGGGGGGGGGGCGCATGCGTCCGCCACACCCAGCACAGCGTCTCGTGGCCCGATAGGGAGCTCCACCGAAGGTCCCAGTGTGGGGGGAGGGGCGCATGCGTCCGCCACACCCAGCACGGCGTTTCGTGGCCCCCTAGGGAACTCCACCGAAGGCCCCAGTGGAGGGGGGCGCATGCGTCCGCCACACCCAGCACGGCGTCTCGTGGCCCCATAGGGAGCTCCACCGAAGGCCCCAGTGGATGGGGGCGCATGCGTCCGCCACACCCAGCACAGCGTTTCGTGGCCCCATAGGGAGCTCCACCGAAGGCCCCAGTGGGGGGGGGGCGCATGCGTCCGCCACACCCAGCACAGCGTTTCGTGGCCCCATAGGGAGCTCCACCGAAGGTCCCAGTGGCACAGCCCGCATGCGTCCGCCACACCCAGCACGGCGTTTCGTGGCCCCATAGGGAGCTCCACCGAAGGCCCCAGTGTGGGGGGGGCGCATGCGTCCGCCACACCCAGCACAGCGATTCGTGGCCCCATAGGGAGCTCCACCGAAGGCCCCAGTGTGGGGGGGGCGCACGCGTCCGTCACACCCAGCACAGCGTTTCGTGGCCCCATAGGGAGCTCCACCGAATGCGTTGCTCACAAAGACGGTACTCACAACTGCATATGGCTGGGTCCTTCGCCAGGCTAATTCTTTTCTCTGGCGCTTCGCAATGTATTTTCCGATTCCCTCGTCAGGTTGCCACATGTGCACCCCTGAATGCCCACGCGTCCGTTTGGATGCTTGCTCTGCCTGTTTATTTCCTTTTCAGGGGACGGGCGGAAACCCAATCTATTATTTCGCCTTTCTGCTTGATGTTTTTAGCTACTTCTTCCGCACGATGGGTGCCCCTCCCCACCCATCCCTTCCCACTGCGTTGTTTTTCTCTATCCGCCGACGGGTGTCCTGGCTCACCTGTATCCCGCAAATGGTCCCACCGTGCGGTGCGCAATCGGAATGGGGGAGCTGTGCACATCGGGTGATGAGAAGGGTGGCGGGTGAGCAGAGGGATGGGCGAGGGTTAAGAACTTGAGGCCACCCAGAGGGGGCCAGATATAGATGGTTCGGAGGGTATGCGCCGCATCACCAGTGCATCCGCGATGCGGCACGATGCCGACCCCGATTTTCCCCATCCTGACGTTGTCGATGCACCGCCGATGCAGCGCCCGTGTTGTACGATCCTTCGACCCCACCTGCTCGGACCCCATCTGGGTGGCCTCCAAGAACCGGCGGCGAGCGAGGGGGGGAAGTGAGAATGAGAAGGCCTTCTCAGCAGGAGGCGGGATTTCTCAGAAGCCCCCCGGCCTTCTGAGAGGTGTTCTGGATCTCCTGGGAGGGCTCAGAAAATTTCTCGACAGGCCGGGGGTCTCCCGAGCCTTCCGAGAAGGCCCGCCCCTTCTCGCTTCCCCCCCTCGCTCGCCGCCGAAAGAAGCAAGGGCAGGTTTTCGGGGAAACCACAAGGCACCGATACCGCTACTCCCCGGACCTCTCCCGGGGTGCGTTCTGACCAGAATTTCGAGGGGAATCCAGCGGTGGCGTTTAGAGCTTCCCAGGAGGCCCTAAATTGGGAAAACGAGGAAAGGTCCCTTCCGCCGCGGGCAGCTCTTCGCGCCGGATATCCGCCCCTGACAGGCCGGGGGGGCCCGGACAGCGGGCCCCCAGGGGCAGATATCGAGAAGCAACAAAAAGCAAGGCTCCTCCTCCTCGATGCCCCCCCTCCCCCTCGATCCTCCTCGATCCTCCTCCTCCTCCTCAGCCTCCCCCTCCTCCTCCTCCTCCTCCTCCCTCCTCTGCGTTTTGGGAGGCTTTGAAACACAGGAGCCTCTGGGGGGGCGCATTCGCGGCCACGGGTGGGGCGCGCAGCTCGAGAGGCGCCACGGGCCGCGAGGGGCTCCGAGAGGGCCCCCCCCAGGGGGCGGCCTCCCGAGGGGGCAGGGGAGCCTCTGCTCCGGCGGCGGGCGGGGGGGGGGTGGAAGCGAGAAGGAGGAGGCCTTCCCTGAAGGGGCCCAGGGAGACACAAATAAAGACACACACACACACACATTATATATGCACGTATAAATGTATAAACGTATATGTATGCATGTATATATAACATATGATTATTCGTACTAGTATAATTATTAATGTTTCCTGCTATTTTCTGGATTTTCGTCTTCCTCCTCACTTCCCGTATTTTCTCATATTTTCCGGGGGAGCGGCGATCATTTGTGTATCTGTGTGTTTTTTCCCTTCATATTCTAAGAAGGACAGTCATGTTGCAATTGCATGGCATGGGATAGCCTGGTGGACGTGGGGGGGACATGTTGGGTGGGATTTCTTCGAGCCTTTCTTTCGTGAGACGCCCCCGCACTTGCTCCTCGCAGGGATCGTTGGTTGCTTTAGTCAAGGTCCCACAGCACTGCCTCGTGGTTGTTGTGTACACTGCTTGCTTTTGCGACGAGCGAGGGGGGGAAGTGAGAAGGAGGATGCCTTCTCAGAAGGCGGCGGGATTTCTCAGAAGCCCTCGCGCCTTCTGAGCAGTCTTTTGTGTCTTCGGGGGAGACTTAGACAACTTCTCAGACGGCCGGAGGATTCCCACCGCCTTCTGAGAAGACCCTTTTTCTTCTCACTTCCCCCCCTCGCTCGCCGCCGATCGTTGAAAGGGATCGCCCCTCCCTTCCCGCCCCCTTGAGACAGTCTTCTTGTTTCCTGCCGATGAGGGGCGCGACCGGGAGAGGAGTCGGGGGGGGGAGGGGGCCAGACACACCACGGTCCGCGCTGCAGCCGTCAGGGAGTGCCCAGGGATGGCCAGCCAACTTCAGACGGCGCCGGCGCGAATCGTGACGTGACCAGGGGGGAGCCTTGAGATGGGGGTCGATGCAAACGGGGCTCAGCCAGAGCGCCAGATTTTGCATGATCCTGGAGGGCCAGGGTCGCATTGACCCAGGTTTGGGTGCAGGATCCAGCTGGATCCTGCATGATCTTGCAGGAGCCTGACTGACTCGGGTCTGGATTGGCCCAGGTCAGTAGACCTGCTTAGCATGGGTACGGAAAGCGTGTTTATTTTGTGAGGGGCGAGGTCGCTGGCTTAGTGTCTTGGAGCCCTGTTGGTGTTAAGGCTTCGGTGCGACATACAGAAATCAAACAACGAGCCTTGCGAAAATCAATACGTATTGCATTTCAGGGCCTTCCTGGGGGTCCTTTTGGGCCTCTTTTGGGCAGTCTTCGGGGCCCTTTTGTGTCGTCCTGGGACCCTCTTGGGCCGTCTTGGCGGGCTTGGGCAGTCTTGGGGCCCTCTGGGGGCCCTCCTGGGTCCCCTCGGGTACCTCCTGTGGCCCTCTTAGGGTTCTCTTGGGAACCTTTTGGGGCCCTCAGGGGCCTCTCTTGCGCCGTCTTCTGGCTCTCTTGGGCCGTCTTGACGCCCACTTGGGCCGTCTTGGGGGTCTCTGGGGCCGTCTTGGGGGCCTCTGGGGCCGTCTTGGGGCGGTCTTGGGGGCCTCCTGGACCGTTTTGGACGCTGTGAAGACCGAAGAAGCGAATGTGCTAAAAGTATATGTTTTCCTGAGGGAATGATTTTTGCTTCTTGGGGGTCTCCTTTGGGGGCCTCTTGGGGCGTCTTGGGGCTTTTTGGGTTGTCTTGAAGCCATATTGGGCCCGCTTGTTGCGCTCTTGGGTCGTCTTCGGGCCCTCTTGGATCTCTCTGACGCTGTCTTGGAGGTATCTTGGGACCTCTTGGGCCGACTTGTAGGCCTTTCGGGCGCTCTTGGGGCTGACTTGGGTCGTCTTGGTCCGAAAATGGCGGAAACTTGGGGGTACTAGAGCTGAGGCCCGGGCTGACTACCCCCCCCTGTTATTTCTCCAGACTAACGGATCGCGACGCTACGCGCGCTTTCCGTTACCCCGGGCCAGGGGGGTGGGAGGGGGAAGGGGGGGGGGGCCGGGGTCGCTCACGGGCGTGATCGCGAATAGCAGAAAACGGGTTTCTTTCGTCGGAGGCTGCTGGAAGGTCGCTCCTCAGGAGGCGCTGATCAGGGCCGCCGCCTCCTCAGATGCCGCCCCCGCCCAGCTGGATCCACTTCGACGCGAACGCCACGATCCGGTTCCGATGTTCTGGCGATTCGACTCGATTCGATACCGATACTCTAGATGCTTCGCGTAACCCCACCAATCCATCCAGAAGCGATGCCCAGGCGATTTGCCCTGATCAGGGATTTGGAGGAGCAATGGCTGGGGAGGCCGTGGTATCCCAAGAGGGGGAGAATGGAGGAGGAATGCGAGGAGGAGGAGGAGGAGGAGGGGGAGGAGGAGGAGGAGGAGGAGGAGGAGGAGGAGGATGAGGAGGAGGACAGACATTCCAGCCCTTGGGAGGCTCGCGGGCGATCTTGGGGTCCTCTTGGGCCGACTTGGGGCCCTCTTGGAGGCCTCTTGGGCCGTGCTGGAGCTATCTTGGAGGCTTCTTGTGTCACCTTGGGTGGTCGGAAGCCCAAGCAAGCGAGAACCGCAAAATCATTGAAACACCTGAGGGGCATCAATGGTTTTGGCCGCCTCGGGCTCTCCTGGAGGGCCTCTCGGAATCCTCTTCGGCCGTCTTGGAAGCCTCTCGAGCCGTCTTGAAACCGTGGGGAGCCTCTTGAGCCGTTTTAGGCCACGTCGAGTCGTCTTGGTCTCGTCTTGGCTGTCTTGGAGGCCATTTTGGGAGCCTCTTGAGCCGACTCGCACGCCGCTGTTGCGCATCCTGGCGCGGCCGATGCCACTCGGCTGCAGCCCTGTGCCAGGGGCTTGCACGACACGACTGGGTCCGATTCTTCGACTCCAGGCTTGCTGGCTGATCCTGAACTGCCACCCTCGGGCGGGGCTAAGACATTCTGGAACGCTCTCAAAGCGTTCTGGCGGGGCATATCGCTGGGGGGCAGACCAGGATGGAGGGACCATCCAATTCCGACCCCGATCCTGTCCTGGCTGCGTCCCCGCTCCGCGCCGCCAGCCAAACCCGCGGCGCGTGGCTTGCGCAAGGCCGGGCCGTTCTGAGCGGGCGCGACGAGTCGCCGGGGCCGTGGTGACGCTGGCGTGCGGCCGGGGCGGCTGCCGCCTCTCCTCGCGAGAGGGGCGGTGCCGATCGGCGGCCAGCTGAGGGGCCCGCTGCGACGAGCGCCGCGAGCGGCCGACACCGTCTTCTTTCGGCATCGTTCAACCGATCCCCATCCCCATCCCCATCCCCTTCGAGGCCCCCACCAAATTACCACCCCAGTTGGGGATAGACCCCTCCAAACCCGAAGGGAGCGACCTATATCCCCAGGGGGGTAGGTCGGCCATTGGGGCCCAGGCCACGCTGCTGGGGATGGGGATCGATCGGTTAAACGATACTCATTCTTCGGTAGCAAATCTCGGGAGCCTGGCATTCGAAAATGAGAAAACGGCATAGATAAATTTTTGGCGCTCCGCTCGGATTCCTTGGATCCGCGCTGGACCCCCTCCCTGGCGCGTTCCGTCTTCAGCGTCGACTGGCGTCGATTAGCGTCAGGGAGTTTATGAGATACAGTCAACCCGCATAGTAGGGTGGGAAACCTTCTCAAGGGTACCACCCCTTTCGGCCCATCCTTAGCGGCTTTCGCTTGCCAGCCTCGTTCGAAAAACGCCATAAACATAATTGGCGCTCCGCGCGGATTTCTTGGATCCGCGCTGGAACCCCGGCGGCGCCTCCGGCGTGCTCCGCGCGCCAGGGAGAGGGGTCCAGCGCAGATCCAAGAAATCCGCGCGGAGCGCCAACAGCTCTGTTTATGCCGTGTTTTTTTCCCAACCATCCTGTGGTTTTGGGTCCTCGTTTTGAAGAGATGGTCCCTGCGTCCTTCCTCTCCTCTCCTCTCCTCTCCTCTCCTCTCCTCTCCTCCTCCCTCTCCTCTCTCTCCTCTCCTCTCCTCTCCTCTCCTCTCGTCCCCCTCCTCCCTCCTCCCCCTCCCCCTCCTTCCTCCTTCATGCGTTCCACCCACCCAGTACACCGTTTCGTGGCCCCATGGGGAGCTCCACGTAAGGCCCCAGTGGGGGTGGCTACATGCGTCCGCCACACCCAGTACAGCGTTTCGTGGTCCCATAGGGAGCTCCACCTGCGGCCCCAGTGGGGGTGGCCACATGCGTCCGCCACACCCAGTACAGCGTTTCGTGGCCCCATGGGGAGCTCCACGTAAGGCCCCAGTGGGGGGTGGCTACATGCGTCCGCCACACCCAGTACAGCGTTTCGTGGTCCCATAGGGAGCTCCACCTGCGGCCCCAGTGGGGGTGGCCACATGCGTCCGCCACACCCAGTATAGCGTTTCGCGGCCCCATGGGGAGCTCCACGTAAGGCTCCATTTGGGGTGGCTACATGCGTCCGCCACACCCAGTACAGCGTTTCGTGACCCCATAGGGAACTCCAGATAAAAAACCCGCTGGCACCACCGCCCGCATGCGTCGTCCACCACCCAGTATTGCACTTCGCGGCCCCATTGATTGGGAGCTCCACCAAACCCCAGAGGCACCGCCCGCATGCGTCCCCCCACCCGGTACAGCGTTTCGTGGCCCCGTAGGGAGCTCCAGTGGCCACCGAAGATCCCAGTGGCAACGCTCGCATGCGTCCCCCCCTCACGTGGCCCCATAAGAAGCTCCACCGAAGGTCCCAGTGGCACCGCCCGCATGCGTCGGCCACCACTCGGTGCAGCGTTTCGTGGCCCCCGGAGTTCCACAGAAAGACCCCAGCGGCACCGCCCGCATGCGTTTCCCCCAACCAAAACAGCGTTTCGTGGCCTCATCGGGGGCTCCAGCGAGGGGCACCGCCCGCATGCGTCAGCCACACCCAGGACAGCGTTTCATGGCCCATAGGGAGCCCCACCGAAGGCCCCAGTGGTACCGCCCGCATGCGTCTCCCCCACCCATTACGGCACGTCCCTCACGCGTTTCGTGGCCCCATAGGGAGTTCCACCGAAAGCGGCACCCACAATGCGTTACTCACAACTGCATATGGTTGGGTCCTTCGCCAGGATCATTTTCTATGGCTGGTAGCAAATCTCTAGGCCTCCTGGATGGGGTCCTAGTAGATGGGGTCGGATGATCGCGCCGCATCGCCGACGCATCGCCGATGTGGCTCGATGTGGAGCCTGTGTTTCCCCACGCCGACGTCGCCGATGCATCGCCGACGTCGCCGATGCATCGCCGATGCATCGCCCACACATCGGCGATGCATTGGCGATGCGCTAAAACCTCCGACCCCATCTATTCGGACCCCATCTAGGAGGCCTATACAATCATATTCCGTTTTTAGCGTCGATTAGCGTCGATGAGCATGAGGAAGTCAATGAGACAGTGCCGATTCAGCGTCGGTCAGCGTCGATGATCATCGATCTGGCGTCGCTTGACGTCGACTAGCGTCGATCGGCGTCGATTGGCAAGCGCCAGCAAGATGGCGTGGGAGGTTTCCCTGAGTTGCCACCGAATTCTCCCCCGCCGTCCTCCGAGACCTCCTCCGCCCTCCCCGCTCTCCGAAAAAGGACACGCGAGCGCTTTGCCGCGCCCGCGCCGCGACGCGCCAGAGAGGGAGCACGGCGGGGCGGCCGTGGCCGTGGGGCGCCCGCCGGCCCCGCTCGCGGGGTGGAGGAGGATGTGTGTCTGCGTGCTGGGCATGGCGGGGCCGAGGTATAAAGGTCAAGGCCGGTTCGAAGGCCGGTTCGAAGGGCCGGTTCGAAGGCCGGCTCGAAGGGCGGCGCTTTGGCGACACGGCATCGTGCCAGTTGCCGTCGGCATCATGCCCTGCGGCCGCCCAGATCCACGGGTTCTTCTTGAAGCTCGTGCTCTCTCCGGATCTGACTTGTCGCACGTGTTGCCCACATGTGCACGTGTTGCCCACTGGTTTCGCAAGTCACATCCTCATCTCTGCAGCGCGGGCATTACTCTCGCGGGCCTGTGGTGATCGTGGGGCAGCGTATTCTGGCTCTTCAGCGTTGTCGAGCACAGTCGGACTGAGGTACAAGATTGAGGTCGGTCCAGGGAGGGTGCCCTAGTGTTCTTCTTGCCTGTTGGCTGCTCTTGTGCACCCTGGGGAGGGTGCCCTCGGATGTTTCGTGTGCTTTGGACGACGGAGGGTCTCACGTTCTTGGAGGGTGCTCTTCTGGCCTGGGTCCGGCTGTCGGCTCAGGGCGGGATGCATCGACCCCCAATCGCCCATCCACTGCCGATCGGCGGCGTGTCGCCGATTCCAGGTCGATGGTTCCTCCCCTGGGCCTTAGGTCGGGCATGTCCCCCTACAGGCAGATTTTGGGGGAGAAGCGAAACATAGTCAAAAATGCTCAAACATAGAAAAAATAGTCAACAAAAGTCGTCCCCAGACAATTTTTTTACTATTCTTGAATTTGCCTCCTGTAGAGGGACGTGCCCGACGTCACCTGAGCTGCCCCCCCCCCCCTCTCGTGATCCCCCTCGCGGGAGGGGGGAGGGACGGGAGGGGTCGCTCTGCTGGGCCACTGGGCCACGGTGGCCGGCGATTTCGGCGAGACGGGCCGTGGCCTGTGTGGGAGGGAGGGATGATCGATATCGTTTAACCGATCCCCATCCCCATCCTCCCCATCCCCTTCGAGACACCCACCAAATTACCACCCCAGTCGGGGATACACCTCTCGAAACCCGAAGGGAACGACCTATATCCCCATCTAGGGAGGTCAATCGGCCAGTGGGGCCCAGGCCACGCCACTGGGGATGAGGATGGGGATCTGTTAAACGATACTCAGTGGAAGCGAGCGAGCGAGTGAGTGAGGGAGAGGAGAATGACCGGAGTAAACCCAGGCTTTATCAATGATGCTGCAATACAGTGGAGGCCCATGCCAACAAACACCCTGCTTGCCTCCAGGGTGCCCTGGGTTTCGATGGTTCTGCCATGTGAAAGCGTGACGCTCCCACACCAAAGGCCAGTGGACGTCCTGGGGTCCCAGGGTTGGGCTTCTTGTGGAAGGCCTCTCGTGGTCGGGCCCCTCCTGCTGTACGTCCGACCGTATGAGCGCGATCCTTCCAGACGTCCTCCGAAGTCTGCCCAGGTCGGGCGTCTGGACGTCCTCGGAATGCCTGCCCGCGCCCGCCTCCCGGGCCCCCCCCCTGGCCAAGCCAGGAGGGCGCGGGTGCACCGATCCCGGGCTCCGCATGGCCCTCGCCAGGACCTGTGTGTGTGTGTGTCGGGGGTGGACAGACCTCCTACCCCGACACGTCGATTATTGAATTGGCTGTTTTCGGTTCGCGAGAGGGCGTCGCGGCCTTCATTTTTGCAGGTCCAGGTCCGTCGGTTTCGGTCCCAGGCCGTTTTCACTAAGGGGAGGTTTACTAAAGGAAGGTTTGTCCACCGCCGAGTGTGTGTGTGTGTGTGTGTGTGTGTGCACAGTCGCTGACCCCCCGCCCCGGCGCCCCTCCCGCCGCGGCCTGGCCCTGCTCAAAGCGGGCCCGGCTTCCTTTCCTTCCCGCCCGCGCTGGGCCTCCCCTCTCGTCCCGCGTGCTCGCGGCTCCATTCGCGTTTTGTGTGCTCCGCGAATTCCACATCGCCGGAGCAGCCCCTCTGCTCAGCCGCCGACGCAGAAAGTGCGTGTGTGTGTGTGCACAGTCCCAGACGTCCTCAAAGGTGTTTTTAGCCCCAGATCTCCCGACCTCTTCCCTCTGGGGGTAGTCCAAGGGCCCCGGACATCCATCTCTGATGGCCCCGCGACACGAGGCCCCCGAGGCCTCGACGGAGGAAAAGACGCCCGGCAGGAGCTTCAGGGTTACTTCCAAGCCCGAACCCTTGACCTGAGGGAGGAGGAGGAGGAGGAGGAGGAGGAGGAGGAGGAGGA